CTTTGAAAGCAATGGTACTCACCTACTGCATTTCATTTTTTGTTCTTCTTTCATGAAGACTCCATTGAATTCTGTTGACATTGAAGTATTCATAGAAACGGTTAAAACTCGCAGACATGAATATGTTTGGATCATACAAACAATAATTTGCTACGCGTGCGCCAAGATTTAGGAAATTTCTTGTTCGCAATGGTCTCTTAGGAGCATAAATTTCTAGTTCTTCTAACACTCTGGGGGAGCCGATACCGCTCAAAAACACTTAAGCAGCTAACAGGGAAACATCGTCTTCGTTCTAATGTATCAAAGCCCAAAAGTCGGCAGCGATGTTTGGAGATTGGCAGGCTCATTCCAAGGGAGGTGGCATAAGACGAAAGTTATCTGAACGGATTCTATCCTCGCTATCAAAACCGCGGACCTTAGACCCCAGACTTCTCCTTATTGCAATACTGAACGCAGAAGAGAACAGTATAGAGCTTTCAGGCAGGGCGTCACAATATCAGCTTCAATCGACCAAATCGATGCGACAAAAAGACTGCTGGCTTTCCTTTTTGGTTAAAGTCGAACAGCTTCGCAGCATTCTAGAACCTCAGTCGGCGTCCACAACCAAAAACTGCAATCACTTGTTTCTCTTTCTTTCGTCGCTCCATTGGTCTTTCTTTCAAGCTTCGGTGAAACGGATGAAAGCAAAAGCGCACGACTTTGATAGTTTCGTCTTTCATGAAACACATCAACAGGAGTTTCATGACGTATATAACGGAAAATGAAAATAGGGGAATTTACGTATTCTCGGCAACCTAAGCAGCGACCTTCTTTCTATAGCCTTTTTCTCTAAGGAACGCACACATATGCAGTATTGGTTTGTTTACAATCTTTTGCTGCCAGCTGCTCTAACAATTTCGAAAGAATTGTCAAAAACTGTTTTGAAACGCTTTTACAAAGCTCCAATCTTCTCTAGTGAGAGCGAGTATTGTCGGCAACCAGTTTTTCTTCGGCAACCGTTCCATTTGAACTGCGTGTAAATCTGCTGTTCTATTATCGGCAACTCGAAATCAGCTACAATTTATAGTGCGTGTGTTTCATTTCAAGAAAACCTTGCTAGATTGCTTTTTCTCAGTGGTAAAAATATAGTCAAATTGAAGCTGAAAGCATAAAGAATCGTTTGCATACATTCAGCGAAGTGTTTTCGTAAGAAAATCCAGTGCAAATAGTGTTTCAATTTGGGTTGCCGAAAATAGTCTGGCATGCCGAAGCCGTCATTTCCCCTATATATTTAAAGCATTTCTCACATGAAAACAATTGAAAATAACACGTGAAATTACTATTTTATCTTCCATCCACATTTTTCTCTAAGAAAAATAACAAAAACGGGACATAACGCATTTATACAAATTGAAAGAGCGGTGATAGAGTGTGTTCCTGAAAGGGACTGAAAGCCATAATGAGGTTTCGTTTAACTTGAAAATCGACGTTACTTACATTGGAAGCGATGAGCAAAGCAACGACGAGAAGATCCTTTCCTTCTAACCATGCTTCTTTTCCATTTTCGTTTCTTTGCTGATAGTCTAGCCAGGCGTTATAGAAATGAAGTGTTGAACACTATGTATGAGAGAAACAAAACTCGAGTTCATTTTGGAGCTTCGAAAATGTAGAGTCCTGTTTCCAGGTGAATTAATAACAGAATTCATTCATCAGCAATATTGACGATAATTTCGAGTTGTCTGTTGGCGATGATCTCAGTATAATGTAGCTTGTATGTCACCTGGGGCTCCCCTTAGCTCAGTCGGTAAAGGCGCAGCTACAAAGCAAGACCATGCTGGAGGTGGCTGGGTTCGATTCCCGGTCCAGTCTAGGAATTTTTCGGGTTGGAAAATTTCTCGGTTTCCCTGGGTATAGAAGTATGATTGGACTTGCCACACAATTATACCAATGCAAAAATGGTACAGGCATCGAAAGCTCTCAATTAATAACTGTGAAAGTGCATCTAGAACACTAAGTTGAGAGCACGAAATAACTAATGTGCGATATGCAATAAACTTGAAATGCGTAGAAGAAGAAGAAGATGTCACTTGCGGATCAAACTTAGTCATTAGATCGCGGATACTACTCACACGTTGCAAAGGATCATTGTTGATCGTATAGCTGAATATTATTGGATATTGCTTGCGGTGAAAAGATACGATGTTGCATTTTAAGATTATCAAGGTGACAAAGTTCTTGGAGCACCAATCTTCGATCAGATGCTGTAAGCAGTCAATAGGGCTTCAAACAACAATATAAAACACGAAGCCTTTGTTAAATTATCTTTAAAACAAAAAAAAATACATTTCCAAAACCATCACCATGTGAAAGAAAACACTTTTCCCGTCTTTTTTAAAAAATTTATTCAAATTGTTGATCGAGGGATCTAGAACAAAAAAAAAATTTTCTTGCTTTATTTTCCGTCGATCTTGTTTTCCGTGCTGAGCACCAATGATACCGACGCCAAGAAGGCAGCTCCAACACCTGGACCCTACCTATCGACCCATCAACTCATGAACAGGAGACTAACGGCTTTACTTCCCTTCCGAAGAGGCGTGATCAGAGATGTTATGCCTCAGAACATCCCGGTGGCGCCGACTGGAATTGAACCCAGGCCTGCTGGGGTGAGAGGTAATCACGCTTACCACTACACCACCGGTGCCGCTAAAATGTTATTTTCACAGTAGTTGACAGCTAAGCCCCGTGCGTGAAAGACGTGTTTCTTTTATCCGTCTCGTTATCAGGTTACAAGCTAATGAGTTTTCTATCAGATCGGTGCTAAACGTTAGAACACATTGGTAGTAGACTTTAGGGTGCTGCCGAAGCGACCAGATGCATCTGCCGTACAGAAATTCATGTACGGTGAGTTGAAACTGGACATAGCGGATGCCTTAAACATCCAGTTTCACAATGTTAGAAACTGTGTCTACCTCGAGATGGTAGATGCAGCAACAGCCAAGCGCTACTTTGCATCACACCATCTACAACACACTATGCAGTGCGAGAAAAAAGCTTACAACATTCCCGTGTTCGTGGAAGACGAAGCCGTTAACGTGAGAATCCATGATCTCCCTCCGAAAACACCTAACACGGTGATTATAGAAAGTATGCGACCATACGGTACTATTCTTTCCATCAGCAGAGAAATGTGGAAGAATTATTTTCCCGGCATCTACAATGGAGTACGTGTAGTACGGATGAAACTCAAACAACTCATCCCTTCCTATCTGACGATCGATGGTGAGACAACATTGATTACATATCGCGATCAAGCAAAAACCTGTAGGTTCTGTGGACAAAAGGCTCATCCCCGACAAAAGTGTAATAGCTCTACATCACGCATTACTGTCAATGACCCTACAGACGCAGGAAAGGTCACAAACGATGAAAACAGCGAACAAACATTACTCGATACCAATCAAACCCAATCTACAATAGGCGAAACCAGCAAAAACACCCAGCACCAACACTCCGATGGAAACAATAGCGCACAAGAATCGACGGATAGTGAATCGGATGAATTTCTAACCGTCACCAACAAACGAAGGCTGTCAACGAAACAAAAACACAACAATGCGAAACGATATGTTAAGAACCAGGGTTGCCAGAATGATGAATCAGCAGGAAATGAAAATTCGATGAAAGAAAAAGAAGACGAATTGTCAGTTCCGGACTCACCAGTCAAGACGAGGAGCAAAAATAAGCAGCTAGGAAGAAAGAGAAAAAAAAATGAGTTTGAATTAACTATATTTCCATATATTATTTTTCAGAGACGAACCAGCCTACGGCTGAAAGTCTCTTTAATAAAGAAATCAAATTATTTTCACCGAGACCGAGAGAAAAGTAAATAAAAATAAATGCTCTGATTGACCCATATTTGGAATGAAAAATTGCCCACGATGAAATATTTGATAAGTAACCTCAAACCCCTCTTTCGAATGGTGAAGTTTTCAGGAATGCCGATTTTTTGTTTTGAGGTTATATTAGCAAAGATACCGTGTGATGTTAACGTCATCAGAATAGAAACAACGACAGCCAACCGGAAGAATCAATCCAACCTCGTTAATGAAGATTTAAAAAAAAACAAGGTCCTAAGTATTCTGGAATATGCAGCTCAAGTCTGGATTCCTAATCACGCAAAACCACTCCAATCAGATAGAGAGGATGCCTAACTACTTAGTTAAGTATACCATACGAAATCTTGCATGGAACGATCCTCAGCGTCTATTCCCATTCAACAAACCAGACTGAGGCCTCTTTACAAGCAATTTCAAGACTTCGTAGGTGTTAGATCCGGCCGAGAAGCGAATGACCCTCCTAGGTGAAGTCAACACATTAGAACTCTTGAACTCGAATTAGCAAAACGATAGCCGTCGTACCGTACTGAACTGAAAACTTCGCAGTCAACGACAATTCCTTCCTGATGTAAGATTAGAAAACAGCAATTTGTACAATTTGCAACAGTCCCCCTGAGTGGCATGTGGAAAAAAAAAAAGCGTAAAACGTACAAACGAATGACTATTTTATGTCAGCTTTATTGGTTGGGTTCGCTCCGACACTGAGGGCAAACAAGAGCCACAGGCGGCAAGGGAGAAAATGTTTGACTAAGCTTGACCTATTTCCCGTTTTATGTGTGAACGTTTAAAAACCTTTCAACTACGCTTCCTGCATCGAAAGTGAATTTGTTTAACACTTTCATCAATTCTCCAGGAAACACATCTATCAGGTGTTCAATTACACAATCAATTACGTGATAAATTTTAAAATGCACTACAGTCCCATAAATCACAACCATCTCGTCAAACGTCTCATTCAAGTAGTCACAAATCATAATTACAATCAGCCGCTAAGAGGCTAATCCATTTTAATACGCACTCATTAACACTCAACGCCCCCTTCCGGAGCCCAAGCAGCTCCACCGTCACAGCCTCAGCGATCGACTAATTTAACGTTTTTCTTCTTGGCTTTTTTCCGGTCCGCAGCCTTCTTCAACAGCGTCCCCATCATCGTATCATCAGCAAGAGTCGTAGCAGCAGCAGTACCAGCACCGTGCAGCCACCAGTGGCAACCGGCATCATGAGTGTGCAGCGCTACAAATTAATATTTATACTGATATTTTTCATCCACACATCAACCGACGCCGCCGAAGCGAGCGCCGCTGGCGATCCTCACGCCACCGCTGCCGTTTACCACCAGCAGCGACAGGGTGGCCGCGTTGTTGGACCGACCAATTTGGCTCCAGGTAAATACAGTTTTTAACTATCGATGGCTGCACGGGAAGGAAAAGTAATTGTGTGAAATGTTTCAACCCGTGACACTCTGGTACGGCACATACACCGTAGGCTTCGGGTCTCATGATCGACTGATAATAAAAATTATTAATTTCAAATTTTGATGAACAAACCGAACCAAATTTGGACCCATTGAAGAGGATTTATGATAAAGTTACTAACGTTCTAATGCTCCGCACACCTCAAATTTATATAGTTGTATGCTGGAAAAGGTGCTAGCCGTTTTTAAAATAAAGATACAAATTTGGCCATGCAATTATTTGTTTCTAATTAGTTTGTTGTGTAGAAAGATCTATTATGCATTTTGAAGCTGTGGCACATATCCATATGGTGCTATTCGCTAACTGTTATGTTTACATCTTCGCACAATTTTTGTCAACCAGGATCGACTCAGTTTTTCTCAAATTTCTGCACTTTATTCTGATTAAATTTCCAGCAATTCATATTATTTGCCACTTCTCCTTTCTTTCTAGTTCTAGAACATCTTAGTAGTTTTGTTATAGTGCAATTCTGAATATTGTTAAGGAAAATGTCAAGCTTGAACCGAGTATTTGGTTCAACTAGACTAAGCAGCTAGTCATCAAGCTGACTAGAAATGGCAGAAGATAAACTCTCTGCAACTAGATATTGAAGGAACCATCGAGCTTTATGAATATCTAGTTATAAAACAACAATCCCGTACTGTCGTGATATGACAATGTGACGTAAACATTGAGTGAATTGTTCAAAAAACAGATGGTTTTGATTAACCTCGGAATGATTGCGAAAATTATGATGTTTAAAAAGCTATCAATATTTCAGCACTTATGTATGGTGGACGTCACTTACGTATGCAAATAGTGAAAAAATGTCAATGATTCTCCGAACATGTAAAGTGTGGAACGCGCAAAAATTGGTCAACTTCAACTTGGTGTATTTCTGATAAAAATGCATAAAAAACCTGAAATGCTGCATTTGGAAGTTGAGTGCATCTACAATGGTTGCTATGATGAGTTTTCACTGTTTGCTCTCCAGTTTTCAAAATGACGTCCAAGCAAGAGGAACCGATAATCCGACGTTCTCACACGCCAAGTTGGAAAAAGTGCTGGATGTGGCCAAATCGTCCGTGACAAACGTTTTAAAAGTGGTCGGGGAGCGTCTGTCGAAGCGGCGGCAATCGTAATCCGGACGTGGCAGCGACGACGAAGAAGGTGGCGGTGAAATATAAGCGAAATCATAACCTCTCCATCCGGGACGTCGCTGGCAAGCTCAATGTCTCCCATACTACTGTGCAGCGGGCCAAGAAACGAGCCGGGTTGTCGACGTTTAAGAAGGTGAAGGTGGTGAACTGAGATTACAAACAAAACACGTCGGCAAAGCAGCGGTCCGACGAATCTGCTCACAGAGCTCGACTGTGTCGTCATGGACGACGAAACTTTGTGAAGGCGGATTTCAAGCAGCCTCCGGGACAGGAGTATAATACCGCATCAGGAAAAGGGAAGGTGGCTGAAATTTTCAAAACCATCAAACTATCGAAGTTCCCGAAAAAATATCTCGTCTGGCAGGCCATATAAACGTGTGGTCTAAAAAGCGGCATTTTCATTACTACGGGAACCATTAATCAAGAGATCTACTTCCAGGAGTGCCTGGAAAAGTGGCTGCTACCATTCCTAAAGCAACATAATAGACCTGTGCTGGTCTGGCCGGACTTAGCGAGCTGCCACTATGGGAAAAAGGCAATCGAGTGGTACGATGTGAACAACGTGGTTGTGGTACCCAAAGACCACAATCCTCCCAACAGCCCAGAACTCCGCCCTATCGAACGGTATTGGGCCTTGGTCGAATGGAATCTCAAAAAAACTAATAAATCCATGGAAAACGAGCAGCAGTTTAAATCTAACTGGCGTTCGGCGGCGAATAAAGTCGATGAGACCACTGTCCAAAATTTAATGAATAATCGAACATATTTTCCTTTAAATATATAAATTAAACTACCAAAAGAAAAATAAGAAGAGTTTTGTGATATAAATTTTGACTGAAATAAACGATTTTTTTGTCGACCAATTTTTGCACGTTCCAGTCTTTATATCTAACGTCACATTGACACTTTACTTCAAAATCGAATTTTGTGCAAGTGTGTGTGTGTGTGTGTGTGTGTACAATCTAACCCCCACTGTCCGGCAGTGTTATTATGGAAGAAAACTGCTTTTTATTACCCTTAAATTAAAGCAGGTTTAGTCCGGGAGTTAGAAGGTGTTAGCTCTATTGCAGCTCCAGTGACCCATTTCAGAATGCCTGGTAATTCACGACCACTCCGAGGTCACTTTTACTTACAATAAGCCCCGCATGTTCACTCTACCTTTATCAAATGGATAATGGTATCATAAACACACTTCCAGATTCAAAAAATATTATTTCCAAATCTGGCACGTATATAGTTTTGAAATTTGTTCAACTGTATTAAATCGATTTGAATGGACATTTCTTATCAATTTTGTTTCGAATACCTCTTGATTCATCTGCTGGCAGCACTTACTGGCCCTTACCGGCGACCAACTCATCTTCCCGCAAATGCAATCGAGATATGTATAAGAACAATCTTCAACTGGAACGTACTCACCAAATCAATACATCCGGGAGCAAATTCCCGATGCTTATTTTTCTCTCGCAAACCCGTCGTCGTCGAACGGCAAAAAAAGAAAACTCGATGAGCAATTTTGTGACACGGAATTTTCACTGAACATAAACCGCGAATTCACGAATTTCACCACACCCAACTGCGAAACATGTTCAGAAGCACTTTTGGTCTCAAAATCGAATTTTGTGCAAGTGTTTCATAAACTACGTAGACATTTTTGTTGGGATTCTTGACCCCCCCCCCCCTCCCCCTGCATAGACAATTGACCATACAATTTTTTTTTTAATTTGTATGGGCCGTGGATAATATTCAACCCCCCCCCCCCTCCTTAACTGCATCTAGTGTTGAACCGCCAGGTATTAAGCTTGATGATATTTGAAATTAATGTCAAATGTATTACCTTATTTTACGTAACAGGAAAGAAGAATGCCGAGATTGTAGAGAACATCATGAAAGCACCAAGTTCAATGGTAATCTCAGAAACCAAAATCTAATTATGTTTGTATATAAACGCAAGAGCTTCTTCTGGGGAATACGGCCAGAAGAAGATCTTGCGTTTATATGTAAACGTAATTTCTCGAAAGCGCAATACACTAGTATTCGGCTTAGTATTCTTCAAAACGGCACAGATATGTATCCAGCGTATGGCAAAATCTCGGAGGTAAATTTTTAAAGGGAGTATAGGATGAACTAAAACTGTAATTACACTTTTGCCTTATACAGGAATATCTATTTCGCCATCCGTGGCAGTAGTTAGGCTTCAAGAACTTCTAGACCACACTACGATCCGCTTAATAAGCAGTCAGGTTCCTGTTGAAAAACTGCAACAGTTCTGTGGAAGCTATGAACTAACCGTTATCTACAAGTGGGTATGTGATGGCAGCAGTAATCACGCCAAATATAAGCAAGGTTTTAGTGACGAGCTCAAAGACGGTGAAGTTAAGGAGTATAGTGATTCGCACATATCCGTATTCTCGACCCCTCTGCGTAAAGTAGCAAAAAAAACTGGGTCAACTACGGAGGAAATTGTCTACCATCATCAGTTACTTTATGTCGCCCAATAAAATTACTGTTTGCCATAGAAAATGCACAATTAACGTCACAATAAGTTGAGCATATGGAAAATCAAATCGGTCTGCTGAATCCAACCATATATCGATCAAATGGTATCGAGCTTCCAGTTGTTCCAAAACTGTATTTCAGTATGTTCGATACAAAAGTTGTGAATTATGTTACCGGTACCAATACCCAATCCTATTTGTGGTCGTGCGAGGAAAAATCTATACGCTGTCAACAGAGAAGTTGACCTGAACGAAATTGATGTGTCGGTTTCGTTCAGGTCATCTACAATACACCAAAATTCAACTACAAGATCAATGGTGTCCATATTAAGTATCTATGACCACATTAGCACACTTCCAGGTACCCGGATGCCCCGGGGAAGTTACCAGAACCGAACTTGATCTAAAACTCACCATGTATAAAAGTTAGTTCAGAAAAGAGCCAATTTTAAGTAAAATTGAGCTAAAAACCATGATTTTAAATTAGCTTTCCTGTAATGAAAAATAACTTCCCCTCCAATATTTTTACATGAAAATATTCATCAATGCATGTAAAATTTGATCAAGTCATTAGTTTAAAAAACAGGTTGCCCCAATTTGCATATTATCAACCAAAATATCGTATGTTTTGAACACATAAACTCTCTTAACATGTTGCATTTGTGAGGTAGCGTGTTGAAGTATTCTAAAAAGTTGCTTGTTTTGGTACATGAAAAAACTCTTTCTAACAAAGTATGTCAAGAAAAAATCAAATAAAAAAGTTGTGGTTGAAAAATGATTTGAAGGGACCTTCCTTAAAAAATACTTTATATCTCAATGAAAACGACGATTTAAACCATTGATATCCTCAGCAAAGTTTGTGAAAATGATAAGATCTACAACTTTGTGCAACATTTTATTTTTCTAAACCGCAAAGAAAAAAGTTAGAAATTTTATTTTTTGTCCTAAGAGATTTAAATTATAGACGACCCCTTCATCAGATGCGCCTATTTTCAAATATAAACTTTTCTCAAGACACCAACTTGATTAAACTGCATCTTTATGCACTTATTTAGTTTTTACCTGAAAAACACCCTCCTGGACCACTGTGCAGTGTTGCCATGTTTTTTTTTTTTAATTTCAATCGGTATTTTCATCATAAACAATCTTTTTAATCTGTATCTGGCTGACAGAAATCTGTGAATAAAAATCTGTATACTTTCCTTATTATGGTCTTTTCACGGATTTCCGTAAAAGTTTGGAATCTTCAAAACTTAAGTTTGCTTTCTAATGA